ATTTTCCAGAAATAACAAAATTAATCCTCGAAAACACCCTTGCCCACGTGGGCGTCCCCGCCAATCAATTTAATTAACCTTGATTGACCTCGAGAATTAAAAAAAAGTGGAGGGGCGAGGTGTCGTGGTTCTACTGTTAGCGTTTTACGAAATGACTAGGCAGTTTATAAAATGACAACGTGTTTAATGTACTCTTAAGTTTTCCATAAACCAAATATATATATTAGTTACCAGTATAAAAAGATCCAAGCTTTTGTAGAAGTTTTCTTTTATTTCAACAAACTGTCCATATCCCCAAACGCGTAGGAAAAGTAAATGCGCACGCGTTCGGATTCGTTCCCGAAGTATTTAATTAGATTAAATTCACTCACTTACTTACAATAATGACTTAAATAAATTTAGGCACTTACTAAATGCCCGAAAAGCGACCGGCAGATTGTAAAAAACGAGCACTAACGCATTCATTTTACTATCTGTCCGCGTTTTATAAAATGCCTAGGCATTTTATAAAATGACGAGTTATACAAAATACCTACGACATATAGGTAGGTACATTTAATTGCCGAACCGGTAGGTTTTAAAATATGACAGATTAAATAAATTCAATTTGTCCTCATTCTATTTAATATAAGTACAGAGGGCAACAAATTTGTCTAGATTCAGACATAATTTGTACCTGCTACACCAAAGATTTATTTTGGCACATTCCCAAACATGACAGCTTGACTTTGTCCTTGAAGATAACTGGTGCATCCATTTTATTGATAAATTATTAAAGGCTATGTAATGTAACATTGATGTTAACAACTCTGGCACTACTTGGTCAAAGGCTTTACTTTGATCTAAAAGTACTATAATTAATGGTTATTTCAGATTTATCTAGTGCCATATTAATTGTGCCGTAAGTTGTAGATATCGATTTATCTGTTCAGCTACAATTTTTCAACAATGTTTGACATTGTGGGAAGTATACTAAGGGGTCTTAATTGTGATAGTTGTATGGACGTAGTAACCTTTGGTAGGGGTCTGACCATTGCTGTTTTTCATACGCTTGGAACAATTCCGTTCACAAGGCACGTATTAATTGTATTAATTAACACGTCCATACAGTATGATAAAATCAAATTCAACATTTTTAAGGATATACCATCCACTCCAACCGCTTGGGATTTAATCGTTCCAAGAATACCATGTAGGTATCAGCAGCAGTAAGATTAGGGTAATGATTGTTAAATTTATTTGACGAATAAAGCTCGATGAGATTTGAAACGACATTGGATGTTCCAGCGACGTTGATAAAGTATTCGTTAATATCGTTCAACGTTATATCTTCTGGTAGATTTAATTGGTTCAATGGGATTAATCCGGAGGAGATTTTGTGAAAGCATTCGGTTTCGAGTTAGCGTAGCGATTTGGCTGCATTAGAATTCAAGTCTTATTGTACTTGTCTCTTGCCTCGACGAGGCCAGCTGCAGTCCTATTTTAGATCCAAAATCCATTAAAACTAGAGCAATTTAGAAGGTATCATCTCCACACTAAGAACCGTGCCGATTTTTGTATGAGACGAAAATCATCAATTTGAAAGAACACTATTTAAGAGGTAAAGTAAATTTTCCTCTTGTTTCGTATAAAATTAATAATTGATGGTTCCTTTGATGAACTTGAGTAGGTAAATAATATAGGTATGTAAATTTCTCATTGACACGAATTTATTATGTTATCTTCAAAAAATTTAAAAACTCTGGTATGTATCGATAGTGTAATATGTAGGTATAGATCTTTAAATACTTACATGCCTATTCTATACCTAATCCATGTCTTTGAAATAAATGTATTTCTTGTATCTTTCGGAAATACCTTAACATATTTTAGACAAATGCAATAAAATGTTTTTCCAAGTTTAGGATAAGGTTTCATTAAAGCAACTTTTTTTTTGTAGGGCGCAATGCTTCACATTCATAACCTAGCAAGTAGCAATAGTGACGTCACCATTACCAGCGCCCACTCAATTATGATAAACGCAAGTGACTCGGGTGCAATTATTCTAACACGAATTATGCTTTGGTTGTTCATTTGATTAATAATTATATTGTACTCTTTTTGTTTTAATTAAACAATAATTTATGCTGGGTTCTACACATTTTGTTAGATGTGTAGATAGTAAATAATAGGTAACTATTTACCTATAGTTAGGTAGGTATAAGTATTTTTCTATTTCGATTTTTAAATGTTCTTATTAACGCACTGTTTTCCGCCCAAAACAGTGCGTTAATGAGACCTATTAACGCACCGTTTTTAAGTTGGTATTAAAGAGGTAAACATAAATTCACTACCCTATTTGAAATTCGATTGTATTTATTTACAAATTAGGGTTATGTTTTTATATACAGAAAGACAAGATTCCCTTTCTATTTGATTAAAAGCGAGACATTAAGGCTGATAAAGTGATAATCAAATTACAAGAAGAACAATATGAAAAAACCACTTAATTACTTTCTCCCAAAACTTAAAAGGGAATTAAATATTACGGTATGTAGCGTAAGAACCTAGATATCAACAATGTGGGGTTTTGAGGTAAATTTTTACATTAATGCCTCTTTTTGTAGCACGTTCAACATCTACGTGCAATCTGTGACCAATGATTACTAGTACGAATAGTGTACCTATCTTCCAAAAAAGACCTACAGGTTATAAAGGAGATTTCGAATGGGGAAAGGATGACAACGAGGATACCTTCGGAACACATTAAACAATATTTTAAAGAAGCAGCTTATTGCTTTTAGCACTTGTTCTGCGTTATTAATCTCGTGAGCCTAATTTGTGTAGTATCGTTATGCTCCTAAGAGGAAGTGACAATCCGAAGCCGAACCCGTCCTAATGAGTGACACCTATCACGTAACAACAACCCACTAAGGACCTATCTGTTAGTGACCGTTAATGGCAAATCGCGAAAAGAAACCTTTGTTTTTCTTTTTATGTCAGTCACCAATATAAGTAGAAGCAGTGTCATATGGGCGAAATCTGTTATCTGTTAGCTTTGTCGTTAATCGACAGTGACACGACTGAATTTCACATAACTTATATAAAAGGACGAAGGACTGTATTTTGCCTTTATGAATTGTTCCACAGTGAATGTACTAATTTCTGAAGTTTATTAATTAAAACAACATTGATAAGACTGTATTTAAATAAGAGAAATATTTGGGACGTCGTACTGCCAACTTAATACAACTTGCACTAATACAACTTCTATATCAAAATTCCCTAGTTACAAAAAGTTACTATAACATCAATTTGATAAAAATTTCTCGAAAATATCTTCTCAATAGAAAAAATAGTATAAGAAACTTGTTTCATAAGACGACCCATCGCACTCGTTCATTAGAAAACTTGAACGCGTTAAACGCGCCACTTATGAAACTTGTTTCTTAATATACTATTATAGTCGCCTTTTTTTTTCAAAGCATTCTCAAATCTGTCAAAATTTTGAGGCATTAGGTATTTTACCAAAAAAACACCATACTGTGTAGTAACAGATAAGATTTCCTGATGCTAAAAAATACAATTCGACGACCATAAACTTACTTATGTGCAAATTCAAAGGTTATGCATAGGTACCTAGGTACATAATACCTATAGTAGGTAGGTATGTACCTATCTACATTCCAATTCCCTTAAATTGTAATGAATTTTACCTATTCCATTTCTATGAAATATAAATAGGTACCTCAGAACTTTTATTTTAAGGCTCAGCCTTAAATTTCGCAATTTTCCATTTTAACCGAAGATAGCATGCTTACAATATCCATGGTATAAGGCACTCTGTATGTAATTATATAGCTACGAATAAAAATTAAAGAATTCCAGTAAGGTACTTCCGTACTTCGGGCCGAAGTCCTGCAGAAGTGATCCTCCAAGATAATCACCACATTTTAGATCACACTGAAATTTGCTGTCCACACTCGACAAATCAGATGCGACACCTTTACGTAATCATGCACTAATTAGTCACGAAACTAATGAACTTTCTCATAATAACAAAACCGGTGCCTATATTTAGATACTGAAATTTCATTACGTATGAAAGGTTGTATAAGTTTCAGGCGGTATTTGACCATCCCTCATAAAAGCGCGGCTATAAAATTCCTCCAATGCATTTAGTAACTAATTTTCCGAGCTTTACAGCCCTTAATTGTGTACGCAATAAAAGTGGTTTGTTTTTGTGGCCCGTTGTCGTAAATATTTTCGATTAGCCGTTGGATGCAGCGGCTGCGACGACGATTGACGCGAATTTCCCACCCTTTATTGTGTCAAACTCATTACTCAATGATTACAATTTCAAAAACCCCTACTTTTAAGGTAGGTAAGTGAATGCAGTCGTGATTGGATTAAGGTGGCGTTTACAAAAAGTGCAAAAGTTGCTTTGCGATTTCCTCTATAACTTTGTTTCGAGGTAAAAAAATAAACTTCTGTTAACGACCGATGGGGCTTAAGCTTGTGAATGAAGTTAAATTTGATAACAAATTATTATCAGTGTGTGATAAAAATGAAAGATATATATTTTATATGGGCGAGTTTATTAACAACTTATTTCCTAAATAACGGCGAAACTGCAGGAATTAGCTAAATAATTTTTGTTTCATGCAAATTTCGGAACATCATATATTTGAATGAATGCTATTCCAACCAAAAATTTGTACCCAGAAGGCAGTTATTGTGGTAACAAATTTCCAATTTTTCAATGTAAACGCCACCTTAACACAAATTGCTATGCTAAGTGAAATGTAGGTACCTATAGGTACGCGTATCAGTTATTTTAATAGCAATCAAATAAACATAAATTTAGAAACAAAACGGCACTGCTACGGCGGCGGCGGTTCGCGGTTTAAATTAATTGTTCTTACGTGCGTGATGTTAAAGTAAACAGCACTAAAATATAAATTACGTGTAAGATTGACGCGTACAACAATTCTCAAAGACTAATTAATAAAAGTAATTACCGTAATAAATGTGATCCGTAACTGTCAAACATAAACGTAAGAAGCACTGACTAATTACACAAACACTGTTAGTTGTGACTCTTGCCGATAGAGCATAATCGAAGTTTCCGACGGCATAACGCATACGAATGTTTTTAGAGGATCAAGGATGCTGTGCAGCACCCGCCCCAAGAGGTGTACGCAGGATCGGGGCGACACGCCTCGTGATGTTCTCGCGCCCACATCCAATCGGCTGAGAGTATGGATGATGGAAGTCGGTACCTTATTGGATACAGCCGTTAAATTATCCTTGGGTTATGGAAATCCTGAAACATACAGAATTCTGATTTAAAGCGGCTTTCAATACTTCCTACAATTTTTAACTAGGGACGTATTATTTTTTTTCAATTTCGGTTTATTAAAATTGCTTTTTCTAATGGAATTAATCCAAAATTGGATTTCAAAACAATTTCCCCTTACATTACAGGTTTGGTGATGATTCCCTACTGTCGATTAAATACCTACATAATATTATGTTTAGATAGGTACCTACATTCAAATAGCATTCACACTTTGAATGAAATGTACCTACCTAAACTTCTATCGTTACATTAGGTTAGGTAACTTAGGTAAAAAGGTCACGTAAAGTTCATGATGAAAGATGAAAACCGAGCTTTTCACAAATACATACCTACTGAACCCAATTAAGATAAAGTTTCCCAGTTTTCTCATTCTGAAACATCAATTCCGCTTAGTTTTTGTTGTTTTATCAGAAATTCCATTATAGCTATCTACCTACATCTATCTACATGTGATGTAACAGTAACTACCTCTACCTAGGTAAGTAACTCGATTATTAAGTACATTATAGTACCTATATCTATAGGTACCTACCTAATCTAGGTAGTTTTAGATTGATGAGTACACACTGATTAAACTCTCGTTCAGCATTCAGCAGAGGATGTAATAGATATCCCTACCTATATTCAAAACGAAATTAGGTGGTAAAGAGTAGCTAAGTTCAAAACAAGCATTTTTCCATATAGGTAAACCGAGGGACCAAAATGAATAGTTTGTGAGATTCGTCTCCAAAACGTCACTCGAAGAGGGTTGAGGGTATACTAGGGATCATTTTTACGTTGAAGAATGTCAATATTATACTTTACATTTGATTTTTTTCGTGATTATATATATAAATATGTAGGTACAGATACCTACAGTAACCGAAATAATAAATTCAATGCTCCACGTTGGGCGAGCAAACAAAAATGCTGTAGGTATGTAATGGCAAGGCCAAAATCTACACCTAAATTTTTAAGTCTCCTGGGTATACGAATCAATAAAATTAATCATATAATTAAGCATGAGACATATATCTGGATGGTTAAAGGGATCGAATAAACACGCGATTTGCATAATTTCACACAAACTTTATTCTTACCGACATACACAAATGAAAGTAAAGATAAAATCCTACTTATTAAAATTGGACTACAACAGATTTAACAAACACCGCATATCCGTTCGAATACGAGTACAAATTACCTAAACAAAATCAAGAAATCTTACAGTACAGACTACTTACAGTTTTTGTTACAAATCCCAATAAAAATCTGGGCACCCAGAACATTATTTGCGAAAGGAAACAACACACTTAAGCTAGACGTGCGTACTAAAATTGCTCTTTTTAAATTCTTTTCCAGGCAGGTTGCAGAAACATTGATTGTAATTAGCTGGCTGAAGGGAAACACACGACCGATGAATCCAATGGCTGTCCGTTTAATGCGGACGACAACTTGAAACAATGAAAATTGCTATCCCAAACTGTTACCTACGTACGATTTCACCTCGAACTTGGCTGGACTCTTGATTACCACGTACTGAATTCTCTTTGACGATCTCTAAAATTGTTTAGGTACACAACGAAAAGCAAACACTTTGCCACCAAACATAACGTAGAAACGCGCGTCTTATAAATTTTCAGACAGCTCGACCTCGAAATTGACAAAAGGCCCCCTCTAAACGCTAACTCCGGTATTTAAATGGAATTCCCTACTTAAGCAAATCGACATTTTTCGTCCAATTACCTCAGTGTGGCAACGCGATAAACCAATCAACGCTTCGCTAAAAGACGCCTCAGTCGAGTAGGCACACTTTGGAATTATCTTATCTAAACTACACAATATTCTACGAAAACAAGCAGTTTTTTTCGATTAAAGGGCATCCTTATCTTTAGTTAATTACATCAATCTTTTATAAAAATAAATGAAGTACCCAATAAATCAATTCTGAACTGATGCATAGGTGATTTAACAAAATAAATTCATAACGCAAATGGGATAAAATGTCCCTATGCTTAATAATTCTAAGAAACAATCTTTTTTTACAACGAAACAAATAAACAAATACCTTGAATACAGGCTAAATACGCAAAATCGTTTTGTGTTTAACCCGTATGAAACCCACCAGATTAATTAAATGAATTGAAAGGAACATTTGCTTAGCAATTAAACGACCTGTATTCACTTCAGGTGACTGGACCTAAACCTGTCCAACCCGACATTGTTTACACAGTAATATATGCCCAAGTTATATTTTTATTTGCAACTGTTTTGCATGGAATCTACTAAAATTATTTTCTAAAATTTTATTCATTTTATGCTTGCCTTGTTTAAATATTTTATCGTATCATTAACAATTATGTCTACTTAATATTACTACTTTTAGTACAATTATGTACCCCATAATACGTTAAACTTGCAAAACGTTGCATGTCCTGCATGTGTTGTTTTATCATTTAAAAAAAAACACTGATTTGTTTAACGTTAGAGGCAAGATTTTACACACTAAACAGTTTTACCATGCAAAAATTTGGACTGTCAGTGGGTTCCAAAATGACAGACGATACTGCTACCTTAATCCAGCAAGGTAAACAATGCGTAAGTATAGGTACCCAAGGTTGTTGAAAAAAAAGTATGTAGGTTCTATACGTTTTCTTTAAATTTTAAGTCCCTACTACCACACTAAGTAGTAGTGACTGACGTTTTGCACAAATTTTGATTATGGGATACCTATATGGATCTTCGTAATATCTTATAGGTACCAATATATACCTTTTAGGCAACAAGAAAACCTCGTTCGCATTTAAATAAATTGTTACCACAAAGGCGTCGGGGGATAATTACGTTAAAAAAAAACACTTTGTTAATCAAAGTTGTGCACCTAATTTGTTTATAGGTACGAGGTGCTCATAGCATTATAAATAAAGCGGTAATCGGTTAGTGGTTTGAAGACAATAAATTCGTGGTTTTATTGGCTGTCAAAATCCTAAGTTGTAAGGGCAATTATGAACATTGCCATAGTGCGGAACATTGGAAATCAAATTGGAACTATACGTGTGGGTAAATTGCTCATTATACAAGAAAGTCGCAGAGAAAAACATGAAAGTCGACTATTTTTTTATAGTTTCCGACTTTTCGTAAATCCATCGCTTTATAAATAATGAAAGAGGAAAATGTTACACGTTTCTAGGTCATTTGGAAACTATCCAAATCGCTTAATCCTACGAGATTTAGTTAATCCCCATCGCGTTTAGACCGATTTACAATTCTGATTAAAAACGACATTAACATCACAGCTTCTAAAACTGTTTCATCAATCTTACGAAAGGCATTAGGTATATGTGTTGCGCAATATCTATCTCGCGGTAACATTCAACGGTATAATAGCTCTTAATTAATTACAATTACAAATATGTAAAACATGCATTCTGTGTTAAATTACTTCATTTGAATATTTTCGGCTCGCCTCGTCTAACTTGAACATAATTTAGACAAGGATGCGTAAATAATTACAAAAAACAAGTGCAAAAGTGGTTAAATTTCCATAAAATATGACCAGGTTATTATAATAGTGTTACTATGTTGCGTTAAACTATTCACATTTGGATCATTAGTTGAATTATTAGCTCAGAGTTTGTACTTCTGTTTAATGGGTACCTATACATGATTTTTTACTCACGGAAATTTGTTATGGAATTTTTTACCCATTTTTTTAATCTGTAGCAAATTTCTTCGTGCGGTTCTGCTTTCATTCAGACAGGAAACAATTTACCGCAAGCACTCTTTTGTATATTAAAATTCATTTACTTATTTGCAAATTCTGGCATAGTTAGATTTTTTCTTTCGACATTCAGTTCAGAAGAGGAAGGTAACTTTAGGAAAACCCAAGACATTTATCAAATTTACTAATAAGACACACATTTTAGTGTATGAACGTGTGTGTTTTACGCATTGCAAGGAGATTAATTATTTCACTTATTACAACACAAGTTTTTTTATTTAACCGTAGGAAAGCTAGGAGGGAATTAGAAATATGAATATGTTGAATGTCAAAAAGCTTGTGATAGCATTGAATTATGCATTTAAACTATTCAGTATTCCTTGTTGTACAAAAAAGCGCTTATTGGTTCAGATTTTACAAGAGCGACACCTATAATTATGAGTGTAAATAGTGGGAGAGGGTATGCGCCGGTCGTAATCGCAATTTTAAGTCAATCGGTCCATTAGGTGGATCACGAAAAAGTAAATTAAGCCAAGAACGAGCCATCGCCTACGTCAAGTCACTTTCACGTGCTAAAAGCCAAAGTAGATAACAGTGTGGTACAAATACACAACAAAAAACCAATCGATGTAATCGAAAGGGTTCAATTGAAAAGACACTAAAATTTCATTCGATTTGATTTGGGTAGTGTTTTTATGAGGCTCTAAAGTAGCTGTCGCACAGAGAAGCTTCACTCGCTTTCAAAAATGAGTGTTCAAGTATAAAAAGTTTATGTAATATCCACAAACAAAGGAGAAGAAAACCGGATTTCATTGGACACTGTTCGTCCCTGAAAATGACTTCAAAAAGTCACAATAACTACATTTGATAAACAAAATAATTGACTGAAATTTCTTATTTTGTGAGTCGGATTACCCAAGAGACTCTAGATTTGCTGGGTTCATAAATATACGTGACTAAATTTTTTTCAAACATTTAAACAATGAAGTACCCAGACCTTTTGTGTACTAAAACGAGAAACTAATGCCTCGATGTGGCTCCCAAATAAGGTCGGCAAGGATTTACCTGGCGACG